ATGAACATTTAATATTATTATTTTCATGAGATAACCATTCTTGTAATATTAAAACTCTTCAAATCATGCGTGGGGCCTTATTTTTGAAGATCTAATTACAATGATGTTAATAACGAAGGTCATGGGGCAATGTATAAAAATCCCCGCTCCCACTCAATTTTTAACAATATATAACTAGGATTTTCCATTCATGATTTAATGCATGCAAAATGCTTGATTTTAATCCAATTAAATTTAGAAAATATATGGATTTTAAATGATTCACTAATATTTAATTTGAGACAAAAATAATTTACAAAAATAATTTTTCGTTTTCCAATAAATGCCCTCAAATTAATTAGCAATCAAATCCAATTTATCTTCATAATTTAATTAATATAAATCAAGCCATTTAGATAAAAATCATGGATCCAATGCATGAACAATCATAATCAATATTAAATTATTCCATGCATCACATAAATAATCAAACCACAGACAGAAGCAATTTAAATAGCCAATGGATTCAGCTTTTCACATTTAAATACTATTTTTGCTGTACAGGCGTCCTTCAACAGTCTGTAAACACCCATAGGAAGCTTGTACGCGTTAGTAGAAGTAAAACGCTGCTTGAAACGAGCCCTGAGGACCCCACACGCGCTCACACGCGCCTGGAGCAAGCAGAAGGACAACACACGCGCTGGCACGCGCCTGGGACGCGTGGGATGCACCCCCACGCGCTGGCACGCGCCAGGGGCGCGTGGGACGAGCCTCCACGCGCCTGCATGCGTGTGGAGGGAGTGTAGCTTTGGCTAGCGCGTGTATCTCACGCGCCAGCATGTTTTTTAATTCCTTTCTCTAGGCGCGTGCTCCTCAGGCACCAGGCTCACCATCCTTGCGCCACATGTGATTCCAACCTCCTCTGATGCCTCTTATTGCTACCGGCGAAGTTCCGGCCACCCGAAAAACGCTGAAAAATTCCAGAAAAATCAGAAAAATTCCCAGAAAATTAAATTAAACCTCAAAAAATTCCAGAAAAAAACCAGAAAAATTCCAGAAAATTACTGAAGCATAATTTAACCCTTTCGGACCCTCTTAAAGCTTCATAGCATTCTTTGATGAATATTACATGGCTTTAATAAATACTTACAATTTGAAATACAATGGAAAAAATTAAATTATATCATTGAATTTTCAAACGGCTAAATCAAAGCCTTAATTACATTCATCCAAAGACAAAATTACATTCAATATACCTATAAGCGTCATCCATGGCCCAAACACACATCATCATCCATTCACAATTATACATACATCATCATGTATCAATATATATCAATATATTAATTCATACATCAACATACATCAATAAATAAATATATGTATATCAAAATTGGATCCATGAATGATGAATTTTGATACAAACATGATCTCTAGTAATGAATCAAACCATGCTCTGATACCACTGTTGGGAAAAGTGCTAGTTTTAAAAACTTTCCGAAGGATTTTAATTCATAGATCTTGATTCATCACATAGAGACAAGTTTTATGCAAAAATAAAACATGATATATCATTCAATTAAAAGATTGAATGCTTACATCAAGATTTAAGTAAACCTTAGATCTCTCCTCTAAAGTGAATGTTCTCACTTATTGTAGATCTCTTTTGCTAGACACCTTTTCCATGGATCTCCATCTTCTTGGTAATGGTCTTGCCTTTAGGAATCACTCATAAGCCTCCATGAATGACCTTGGAAAATTAGGCTTGTGGGAGCCTCCATTAGATGAGAACACTAACCCTAATTTTCTAGAGAGAGAAAATTTATTCTTTTTTCCTTCTTCCAAAAATCACTCCTAAAATAGACATAGACCATGTATATTTATAGGCAACATAAAAATAAAGAAAAGGAAACAACAAATCCTTCTCAATCTCTAATTCATATGTCTCAAATCTAATATGATTCCAATATCAAGTTAGGCTATGAGTGAGAATCCATTGGGCCTATTATTTTATTGGCTACAATGAATTAATAATTGACTCGGTCCATGGACCCAATTCAATTAATTCATAAATTAATTTCTACTCCACTAAAAGAAATTAATTGAACTCCAATTAAATAATAAATAACCTCTAAGTCAATATTGCACTTTGACTCCTCTATGCATAATTAGTTATCGGATAAATAAAGCCATCAATCCGACTACTTAATTAATATATTTATTTTGGTACCATTGATTATTTCTAACCCGACCACAATAAAACATTTGTTTGACAAAAATAATATTTTAATAAATAAATATATAATAAATCATTTTGTCTAAAACCACACGAAGGCCTTCGAATTTACTTTGTGATCAATCATAATCAATACAAAATAAATACAAGTAATAATGATGCAAATATTGAAAATATAACCCTCTAACTATTAATTACATAACTACCCAAAGTGTCGGTCTAAGGATCCCAAAGAATCTGCCGAACAAATCAAAGTAATTATTAATTAATAAAAGAGTCTATACTTTTCTCATGCTTAAGAGTCAAATGACATGACGGTGATAGGGAGCAATTGCATACGACGGCTCTCGCAATATATCTCAACCTAACGCGGATCCAGTTCAAGTCTTAATTAATTTTGAGTCCATCTATAATTACCGACTATAAACCATTTATGATTGCTATTTATATTCATGTATTGATCGCTATCACATACAAATATAAATATCTCTTGTAATCAAGTGAACACTATCAATTCTATAATGAATCGAAACATAATACATTGAATTCACCAATTATATAAAACATAAATATTTCAGAAACGTCAGGAACTTAGGACACTATAATCCAGATAGGAATTTGTTATGCCAGGGCATATAAATCCCAACAACCACTCCTCCACTAACTATAAATAAATAATTAAATAATTTATTAAAATCAATACTAAAGAACAAAATATTAATAATCCAAAATCTCCAATTGAAATTAAATAATCAATCTCTAATAATTAAAAATCATTAAATAAATAAATTAAAATCTAAAAAATTCGGATTATCACAATCTCCACCACTTAAAAAGAATTTCGTCCTCAAAATTCAGATCTAATAGTCCGTATACCCGAAAACACCAATAATCACAAAACCAAATTCATAAATCATTAACCTAGGCGATATGAGATACAGTGATACGTAGGACATTATGGTAGCTAACAATGCTAGTCACCCACCCACACAATCCGTAACCCTTATGGTAGCTAGTCGATGCATCACCGACCTACTAAAAAAAACAACAAATCTGGGCTACCTGCCCAACCACACTAACTAACCATCCCAGTAGCTGCCAGTGAACGTCATCCGCCCACACACACTCGGCTACGAATGGTAGCTCACCAGTACTACACACTTGCCTACTCACACCCGTCTATATCATCACTACACTCACACTTCCGACTGGGTATAGCTCTGATACCATTTTGTCACACCCCGAAATTCTAATAAAATCTTCGATTAATTCAAATCTAAATACATCAAAATACATCCAGGAACAAAAAAAAAATGTCCTCTTTTATACAAAGTCAATTTTCTCAAAAATACACAAAAATTCTTCAAAATAAATAAATAAAATCCTGCAACACCTACTTCAACCTAAGCCCGAAACTAGCAATCCATATTCATTTTCGGTACCTGAAACTGGAGGGTGGTGAGACAAAAAGTTCTAGTAGGAAAAACCATAACAAGAATTTTATGGAGGCTCAACAAAAATAGCTTCACAAAATATATATATAGTCATGTGAGTATATAAACAAAATAAATATGCATTTAATTAAAACATTTAATAAAATTCATTTGAAACAAAATCACTCCAAATCATTCAAAATATAGAAAACCCTGTACTGAAAAAAGAATTTTTTTTTTTTTCTCACTGGACCATCCGAGCATCGAACTTCCGGCCTCCTCTGCAACCTCAGATCTCTCTCGGCTCACTCTCTGCAAACTCTCGTCTCTCCCTGTCTAAGCTCTCTCTTTAATTGTATATCTCAAAGTCGGTGCACAAACACTCTTTATTTAAAGGCCATTCCACCACCTGACACATATATCTCACCGTACACCAAAAAATATCAAAATCATGATCAAAAATCAACCAAAGGACCATTTTCACTTTACAGGTGGTCACATTTTTCTCTGCTCACTTTTCCTACCCCATCAAATTGTAACAAATATATACATAATATATATATATATATATATATATATATAGCAAAACCAAATCCCATCCCATATCTTTTAGTAGCCCCCACAAATACATCATAATTACAATCCTTTTTTCCACACTTCGGCTGCCGTGCTCTCTTTCCTTTACATAACACACCCCAAATTTATATACATATATAAAATAACCACCACACCACACCTCCGCTAACTATAAATAAATAATTAAATAATTTATTAAAATCAATACTAAAGAACAAAATATTAATAATCCAAAATCTCTAATTGAAATTAAATAATCAATCTCTAATAATTAAAAATCATGAAATAAATAAATTAAAAATTAAAAAATTCGAGTTACCACACTTCCAATGGGGAGAAAGCAAAGTAAAAATTAAGGAAATGACTGAAATGAAAGCTGATAATTTGCAAGGAAAAAACAAGATAGAACAATTTGTTCTTCTTATTGATTTATTTACCCGGAATAAAAAAAGCTTAGTATAGTAATATATATATATATATATAGATAATCCGGAGAAATCAACTATTGAACTAAGCATTTGAGGACCACTTAATATAAAATGAGGATTCCGTTTGAAATTTGCACTCTTAATATGGTTAGGGATTTGGGATTCAAGGTAGATGCAGTGAACCAAATTTTGGTGTTTGTCCTCTTTTGGATGGTTTACATGACTATGATGACCAAAGTCCAAAGTAGTAGTAGGGCCTTTTCTCTTGATGGACTACTTGGTTCAATTAACATAGACATCATTATTATGTAAACCCCAACCCAAACTCATGGCATATATATATATATATATAATAGTAATACACATACATGGCTTAAGTCAGATTTCCTATGTTCATAAAATTCATTTTTTATGGCATTTCCAGCCTAGCCCTAGCCTACTCTAAAAAAGGAGAAAAAAAGGTTTAAAATCATCCAAATATTGTGATAGTTACGAACAGTGGATGTCAGTGTGATTGAGTGGAGATGTAGTGGGAAAAAAGAATGGGCAGAGAAGAAGAAAAACAAGGGCTTCTTCAATCACCACTACTAGTAGTAGAAAATGATGAGGTGTTTGAATGCAGCAGAAAGGTGCAGGATGGATTGAGTAGTTTGAACAAAGATGAGATTTTGGAGGAAGTTAAGAAGCAGTTATCATTAGCAGGGCCCCTAGTGTGTGTAAATCTACTGTTATATTGCTTACAAGTGATCTCTGTCATGTTTGTGGGTCATCTTGGAGACTTGCCTCTTTCTGGTGCTTCCATGGCCACTTCCTTTGCTTCCGTCACTGGTTTCAGCTTGTTGGTACGTACCCTTACTTCTTTTTTCCATTTCCATTTCCAGATGCAATATTGTTTTGATGAACTCGATCAGCCCCCCAACCCCAATCATATTTTTTAAACTACTCATATTGGATTTACAAATCTGTGTTTCCCTAACATCGATCTCAATCTTAAATTTAAGGTCTCATGGAGTCCAAATCACTAACATACATCTGATTGCCCTTAATTCTCTCCCTCTCTCTCTCTCTCTCTCTCTCTCTCTCTCTCTGCTTTCATTCATTACTATTATTATTTATTTACTGGATTAATTTGTCTACTTTAACCCAGCCCTAAATATATTAAATTTGCGTAAGAGATGGATGGATGGTTTAATTTGTTTTCCAAAACCTCTTATTCTACTACTTTTTTATGAAATTCTTATTCTTTTTTCCAATTATATATATAGATAGGAATGGGAAGTGCATTAGATACTTTCTGTGGCCAGTCATATGGAGCAAAACAGTACCATATGCTTGGCATTCACATGCAGAGGGCCATGTTTGTTCTTGTACTAGTCAGCATTCCTCTTGCATTTATTTGGGGCAATGCAGGACATATTCTTGTATTGTTGGGACAAGATCCGGAAATATCAGCTGAAGCCGGAGTTTATGCTCGTTTCATGATACCTAGCATTTTTGCCTTCGCCCTCCTGCAATGTCATGTTCGATTCCTACAATCCCAAAATAATGTGTTCCCAATGATGCTAAGCTCAGGAATCACAACACTACTCCACATACTCATTTGTTGGATTATGGTGTTTAAATCTGGCCTTGGAAATCGAGGTGCTGCTTTGGCTAATGCTATATCTTATTGGATCAATGTGCTATTACTGGCTCTTTATGTCTGCTTTTCTCCTTCCTGCAACAAAACTTGGACCGGTTTCTCCAACAAGGCCTTGCATGATATTCCAAAGTTTGTAAGACTTGCAATTCCTTCAGCTGTTATGGTCTGGTAATTCTTACCTCTCTCTCTATCTATTTATATATCTTAATTAATAGTAATTTCACTCTTATATACTACCACTAATTAATTAATATCCACATATATATATATATATATATATATATACATATATGTTTGTTTGTCCAAATGTTAGTATATACCCTAATATAATCTGTTTACAAACGTACAGCTTGGAGAACTGGTCATTTGAAATGATGGTTCTCTTATCTGGTCTCCTTCCTAATCCAAAGCTTGAAACATCGGTTCTGTCCATCAGGTATATATATATATATATATATTGCATGGTAGGAAATTAAAACAATCAAAATGTCTGTAACACAATATCAGTACTAATCGATTAATGTACACATTCTCAGCCTTAATACATGTGCTATGGCTTTCATGATACCCCTTGGACTCGGTGGTGCAGTAAGGTGAGTACGTTGTATGGTTTAATTTTCCTGATACAAATTTCGACTGTATTTATTTATTTACAGAGTTGTTGTTGTTGTTGTTGAAATAAACTTTAGCATAAGAGTTTCAAATGAATTGGGTGCGGGGCGACCTCAAGCAGCTCGATTGGCAGTGGGTGTTGCAATATTAATGGTTGCTACAGAAAGCATTTTAGTAGCTGGTATAATGATATTGGGGCGTAAAATGTGGGGGTATTGTTACAGTAAGGAAGAAAAGGTAGTGAAATATGTTGCACAGATGTTGCTGTTGGTTGCAGCATCCCACGTGTTGGATGGCATTCAAGCGGTGCTTTCAGGTCACTCCCAATTACTAACAATAGTGCCCTAATATTCTACTTTGTCCCTGAAATATAATCTTAATCTTCAAGAGATGGAGGTTTACTTAAATGGTATGTATGTCACCTTTTAACACTTGAACAGGAACTGCTAGAGGATGTGGTAGGCAAAAGATTGGAGCTATTGTTAATTTGGGAGCTTATTATCTGATTGGTATTCCTTCTGCTATATTATTAGCTTTTGTCTATCATTTTGGAGGCAAGGTAATTACCAACATCTCATATCCAACTTTTCCTACCTTTTCCCACTTCCATATTCATTAATTTATGCTAGCTGCTTTCTGTATCCCGCAATTTATGTACATATGTAATGTTCTCACAATAAAATTATACTGCTCCTAATCTATCATTTTCTGTTTCTAATGTATTGCAATAGGGGCTATGGACGGGAATAATTGTGGCATTATTTGTGCAAGCATTGTCTCTTTTCATTGTAACTATATGCACCAATTGGGAGAAAGAGGTAAGCTTTATATATACACACGCATATAATTTTTTGTTAATTTCATCTAATATATATATATATATAAACACACAAACACGCATATAATTTTTTGCTAATTTCATCTAATACACACACACACACACACACACACACGCATATAATTTTTTGTTAATTTCATCTAATGGTCGGTCTGTTTTTTTGTTTTAGGCAAACAAGGCTATTGATAGAGTGAGCATTGAAGAAGCATCAGAACAAAATTGAATTGAAAGAAGAGTAGGTCTAGCTTGTAGAAGATAGTACTTGCTATCACCTGTTGTTCCATTAATAAGTTCCAATATGTGATCACCTACTTTGCCCTACAGTTAAAATTTTGATTTACTTCATTGAACAATTATAGTATTACTAAACTACTCTCCCTCTAAATAGTTAATGATTTCAAAGAATTATTGAGTAACGTACAACAAAAATTTGTTATTTCAACATTTTACTAGTTTGTTTCCAAATTTTAAGTTTCCACAAAATTAAGAAATTAGTTCAAATATTTATGATATTCGTTTAGGGTTTTGTCTCTTATGTTCAAGGTTTTTCCACTTCTTGTGAATCCCACAATTTTGAAGAAATATTCTTGTTTATGAGAAATTAACATTTATTTTCAATGAAATAATAATATGTCCTTGTTAGTGAAATTGCAAAAGACAAAGTGGATGGGAGAAAGATTATACTTTTCATACAGAATAGTATTCCGTGTGAAAATTATGTACCCTTCGAAAAGATTAAAAGATACTAAAGATTCATGTTTTCACTACCCAATACTCTCTATATTATAGTTTAGTATATCCAATACGCTAATATTACCATCACCATCATATGAACTGAAAAATTAACACACTAACAAATTTCAACAACTCCATTCTATCAACTAAACCATGTCCGAACAAAATAATATTCTTTTCCCACGTATCTAAAAAGTAGCGTCTATACTGAACTTATAATCTCACAAGGTATACAATTGCAAGAAACTAAGAAAAGAATATAGCTAGTTTAGGTTCCAAGTTCAATATGAAATTTTAACGCTTCGTGCACCGCGTCGTCTGCCTGTCAAGGTAGAGCTTAGGACAACACTACCAACTTATATGTATGTACACATCTTCTCTTAGTAGACCGGTTCAGCCTCGAATGGCAACAATAAAAAGGACCAATACCAGGAAGAACTGTCGCAAAATCCTAATCACATCCAAGAAATGACAACCTGCAAATGAAAGTTACAATTCCTTTAGATCCCCAAAAATCATTTCCAATAAAAGAGAAGACTCTAGAATGAGTATCAAAAAAGAGGGGAACAAAACTTACATTCTGAATGCGCAATCATAGTTCTCCTCAGGGTATTTTTGTAGTCTTGCTTAGTAATACCAAGGTCTAGAGGCGCATATAATTGCACTCTAAGAACATACCTTTTCATGGCAGTATTATAAAGGTTCAAGGAAGATGAACAAAGGCATAATCACACATTATTAGCCTGTGTACACTTGGGAACCAGTAGGTGGCCCATAAAATTGCAAAATATGTGCTTCGTTTTATTTTGCAATTTAGGTGAGAAGTGAAACCAATTCATTCAGGATTCGCATCATTTCACATTGATTGCTGCAGCCATACTTCTCAACCTCTGAGAAATTTCTGAGAATGATGGCCTCTGTGTTGGATCTGACGCCCAACTTCTTTCCATCAAAGATTTCCACTCCGGATCACACCATGTTGGAATTTGTGGACGTAATGTGTTGTTCACAATTCCTCCTACACATAAAAATAAAAATAAAAAAAGTTCTTACGAAGGGATCACAATTAACTGTTATAGCAAGGTAACTGTTATAGCAAGGTCATCTGTCCCACTTGCCATCACTAATAAATAAAAAATAATAAAAATAAAAAGGAATATTTCATTGACACCCCTGAGGTTTGGACAAATCTCACACCGAGACACCTTTCGAAAATTACTATCACTCAAACCCCAAATGACTTTTCTGTCATTTTACTGTTAAAATGGTGCGAAATGACAATTTTACCCCCATTTTTTAATCCATTTTAATTCAAAATATCAGCAAACTTAAAGGAAAAAATTTCCCTCATTAAATATATATAAATATATATATATAAAGGGTTAATTAAAAATATATATATATACACACATTTGTGTATATATATACACACATATATTTTTACATTAAATATACATATTTATTAGCATATTTAATTTACATACACACATTTAAAAACATGAAATTGAATTCTATAAATATAAAGTTTCTTAACATATATATTTAAATAAAAGTTTATATATAATATATTTAATTTTTAATATAAATAAATAACTTTGAGTTTAAATTTAAAAACATCAAAATTGAATGCAATATTTTTTTCTTAAGTGGTACTCACACACCCATGCCTCCACTAAGGCTTAAACCCCTAACCTCTCTTTGAGAAGTGGAGGCTTGGTACCGCTGGGTTACTGGCCCGCTGGTGAAATTGAATGCAATAAATATAAAGTTTCTTAAAATATATATATTTAAATAAAAATTTATATATAATGTATTTAATTTTTGAATATATTTAATATTCAATTAAATTTTTATTTAATGTTAACATTATTATTTATGTAAATAAATAATTTTGGGCTTAAATTTGTAGCATTTTTCAAGAGGATATCTATATATATATATATATAGTGAGAGAATGCGGGGGAGGGGGTAGAAATATCACTTTTTAGTAAGTCAACACAAAGTCAAAAGGGTAATAATGTCATTTTACATACAAAAAGTGTTCTGACACCACTGAAAAGTTAACCCAAAAAAAAATTAAAATCTCCCCCACTTGGCATCATGAATATAAAACTACCACCTAGATTATGTGGATGGTGGAAAAAGACACAAACAAGACTTTTCCACTCCATCACAAACATGAGGTAGACATGAGGAGACAGCTACATTTGTGCGTAAATTACAATTAAAAATGAATGCTTTAATTCACATGTGAATGTGGAAGAGCATTATTTGAAGAATCAAGTAATAACTCTAATCTAAGTATTGTACCAATAAATAATAGTAGTGTGGTCAAAATTGAGGGTAATGGCATAATGCAGAGGTAAGAAAAGACAAATTGTAAAAAAAATATACGATGGTATGATTAAATTAAAGCATGACCTTGATAGAGCAAAATGGTAAAAGACATAACCAACTCTAAATAGCTGGTACAACCCTTAAGATAAGTTGAATTGAGTTGTACCACTAAACATACATAGTTCACCGGTTCTGATATTCAATATAAGTGAACAAAAATACACTCTTGAAGTGTTGTAGGGTTCTATGGAAAAAGAAGATGAAACAACACAAGCAATCACACAATGCATGCAAAAAGATTTCAGGAATTTATCTTAAAACCCTTTTCCCATCCCTAAGCCTCCAGTCACTTAACAAAGCCAAATGATAATTTCGTGTGAAAAAAGCACCTCTTATTTTCTTTTTCAGGATCTTCCCCAAAATAACTACCAAGGGGGTTTATTATCCCCCATTAGACACTCTCCCAACCCCCAAACAAAGAGAGAGAGAGAGGGTTGGGAGCGGGGGTGTTCAGCAGCAATATACATGTCAAGTGTGATCAAGGCATTGAATTAAAGGGAGAAAATCCGCAACACCAGCAAATGTAATGTACAAAAAAATGATAATCCAGGATGGGCATGCCTGTCATGCTGGAATGCCAAAATTTAATGGAAATTTTTCTAAATATCAAATTCAATAACAAAGACTCAAAAGATATTATAATTACAGGCATAGTTGTCAAACCATGATACATATTGTGAGCTAAATCCTAATATACAAACTCGCAAATTGTTAGTTAAGTTGAAATTTTTGAAAAAAGAAAGAGGATAGTAGTTATTTATGTAGAAATAAAAAATATATTGTATTATTAAAGGATATAGTAATATACAACTTTCTGACAGACATTACCAAATCTCATAAAGGAAAGGTGTTTGCAATAAAATAGGATTAAGTAATATATAATTTTTTGAGTGACCTCCTCATGTCCAATTGATAAGGTTGCCGTAAGAAAGAAGATTTGAGATCTTATCATATTCAGAAACACCATCCTAGAAATGAAGGCATTTAATCGAATTAAAAGCTAAAGCATGGCAACAGAATAACCCATAAATATATATACAAATATATTAATATATTTATAAGTATAACAGTTTCAAAATCTTTACTGTTTCTTTCAATTTTTCTTATTCAACCTTTAATTGAAAAGTAGTGGTGGATTCTGAGCCCTCTTGACCACACTGAACATAGCGCATCCACAGAATATAACAAGAATCTCCTTTGACATTAATAGTCCTTTTTTTTACTTTCTCCTTCTTTTTTTTATTCCTCAAGTAGCTATATATATATATTCTTAGGATAAATTGAAGAGGGAAAAAAAAAAAAAAAAAAACCAAAATTTATTAATATTCTGCAAACCGAACATTAGATTTCAATATCTTTACTGTTTCTTTCAATTTTTCTTATTCAACCTTTAATTGAAAAGAAGTAGTGGATTCTGAGCCCTCTTGACTACACTGAACATATCGCATCCACATAATATAACAAGAATCTCCTTTGACATTAATAGTCCTTTTTCTTTTTTCCTTTCTCCTTTTTTTTTTTTTTTTAATTCCTCAAGTAGCTATATATATTCTTAGAATAAATTGAAGAGGAAAAAAAATCAAAATTTATTAATATACTGCAAACCGAACATTAAATTGTTTTTAGCAACAAGGCACCTACCAATTATAGAAGCACAATGCATATCTGCATAAGGTTCCTCCCCAGTGAGCAATTCCCACATAACAATCCCAAATGAGTAGACATCAATCTGCAACGCAGAAAAATAAATGAACGAATAAAAAACAAATGGCAATACAAGGAATTAAGAATCTTCAGAAGAACAAATAGAGCAGTAGCTAAACCTTTGACAATTTATGCTATGACTAATCTCACCTTTTCTGTTACCATATTACTCTTTCCACTAAGAAGCTCAGGTGCCATCCAGGGCAAAGTTCCACGAACCCCTCCTGACACTAAAGTGTGTTGTTTTACCTTTGATAAGCCAAGATCCCCAATCTAAAAGGAAATTCAGATATTGGATGAGCTACCACAGTTCAATCCCGATACAGAGATATTGATACTATCAAATATTAGAAGCAAGTTCCGCGACATAACCACCATGTCACAGTGCCAAGCTTACCAAGCTTCCAATGTGAAATAAATATTACAGCAAGCTGGTAACAGAATTCAGAATTTCCAGAAACTTTGGAAGAATATTTTACAAAAGAACGATCAAAAGAAAATCATCATACTAAAAAATGGTAACAGTGCCACATAAGCTAGAAAGGAAAAATAAAAAATAAAAAAAATACTGTACTCGATAAAAACATTTATTTCAGCATACCTTGCACACTGGTCGATGTGGATCTCTCATGTTCACTAACAAATTTTCACATTTCAAATCAAAATGCACGATGTTTTTTCCATGCAAATACTCCATTCCGAAAGCGGCATCCATTGCTATGATGAGCCTCTTACGACGATCAATAGTTCTGTTCAGTAGTATAATCAGGTCAACAAATCCGTTATCAAAAATCAACAACAGTTTAAATGCACTTTAGCAACCAAGAGCACCTTCATATACAGCATGCATCCCAGAATAGAAAACAGCTAAAACATCAGAAAAAGCCCAAATTCGCTACATCCATCAACAAGGGTACTTGCCTGTCCTTTTTCTGTAAAAATTGTTTCAGAGATCCATTAACCATGAATTCCGTCACAGTTGCTAAAGACCCATCAGGACCATCACGAACTATACCATAGAAAGAAACAACATTTGGATGATGTAACGAACTCAACAGCAAAGCCTCCTTCCAAAAATCCGCAATCTACAAAATAAAAAATTTAAAAGAAAATACATTCTAGGTAAGAAAAGAAGACATCAATGCAGCAGCACAGTCTAATTCAGATAAATATAGGAAAAAAACCAGGTATACACGGCATAAAAAATAAAAAAATAATAATATATATATTCTTTCCACTTTTTTCTTTTGATAGAACACATCTTATTAAATTAAAAATAAAAATAAAAAAGAGTAGAGAAGGAGGACAGGATATCCATCATCCTTCTGCAATAGGAACAAAAAAAAAAAAAAAAAAAAAAAAGCCATCTACAATGATTTGAGTTGTGTCACCTAAAAGTGGATGGGAATCATTTACACACGCACATACAGAGAGACTGGACATCTGCACATGAGTGCACTGATTTAAGAGTCCATTTGAACTCCATTACCAAATGTCCTGCAATGTTGATGAGCTCTTGGATGAAAAAAATTACAAATCCAAGATCCCCTGCACCTTCTTGTTCAACAATTCAATGAAAATCAAGGAGTCTAACTCTCAATCAATTTGAGCAATCCTATTGTTCCTGCTCAATGAAGGCCCTCAAGCAATGATAAAATCTTACGACTGATTGCAGAACTCAAATTATTTTAATTCTTGACAAAGGGTAGATAATATTACTGCAGCGGCCTCTATACCCCCAATCCCTAACACCCTGGGTTATGTAATGACCCTAAATTACATTGAGTAGATGAGATTCTTTGTAAAGGGTGGTATAGTAACATTATTATATTAATATTTGGGAATAGTCTATTATTCCTTGTTGGGAAAAACTAAATTAAGACATACTACATGAGTAACCAAACAAGTGGACATGATGACTAGTATAGAAGTGGAAAGCAACTGTAACTAGGATTTTACCCTATTTTTTAAAATTGGGCAAAGGAAGAAATGAAGAAGGGAAGAAGTCTTGGAGGGAGAGGAGAGCAACCTAGCAAGGAAAGGAAGGATAAGTGGTGTTCTAACTTGTCTACAAGAATTATTATACCTTGCTATTATTTATAATTAATTCTTCTTGGATAAAAAAATGTGTATAATCTATTTTAAATACACATGTTTGTATACGATTAGAATATTCTAAGTGTTGACTGAAGGTTTCGCTGGGGAAAGAGTGGATGTGAATAGTAACTGAACCTGTTTCGGAAACTATTTTTTTTAGTAACCATCGGGGTGGCAACCTGATAGGCATGTGTGTGCATGAAACCATAGTATGTTGATGAGAGTGGATGAACGTATTGGTGAAAAAGGTGATAATAGCGTTTTCTTGAACCTCTAGCATGTTTGATTTGAGTATATGTTGTGTTGGATTGATGAAATTGCAGAAGGGTTAGTGTGAAACTCTAGATTTTACGTAGCTTAGTTTGAATATAATAGGGCATAGTTTTCCGCCATTTTTTGTATCTATAGATGTTTTAAACGATGGGCAAGCAAAGCCCTAAGGATTGGTTGCGATTGGGAGTCATTTGGATGGACAAATTAAAGCTTGAAAAGGGCAGGTAACAATGGCCATAAAAAGGAGTTACTGTAGCACTGTGCGGCGTACGGAATGGAGAAGAGGACTTTAGGCTATGATAGCGATGCCCACTCACGGCTCAGTCATAGTGTGCATGGAGTCCGATTTTGGCAGACTGGTGTATTTTGTTGAGTTTGATTCTATGGGCACGCAACCGGGTCGGATCGGAATATTAAAATATTTATTTATTATTTTAATCAATTAAAATTAAGTTCTTTTGAGCACCCTTATGTTTACAGAACGCTAGTGTTAGACAGCCAATGCTACCTACATGAAGGGGTCACTGCAAGTCCGATTACTTGCTCATTTTCCGAAAACTATAGTAAGGTAGCGAAGTTCAGAGAAGTGGCAGGCAAGAAAGAAGTTCATCCATTGAAGTTGAAGTAGTTTGTTTTAGTACTTCATCGATTTTAGTTGAAGTAAACGATTGATCCTATCGTATCAAGTAAGGGGAGTAAGAGGGGCACATGAATCGATCTTCTTCATTGTGCAATATCGAGTATGCTCAATCTCAGTATGCTAACGCGAATCTCTTAACAGCCGTAATCAATCTCTCAATCGCTTTCTCCTGTTGTTAATCTTTCTTCTGGTTCTTTAGAGTAAGATGAGCGAGCATCCCGTAGCTCTTTTGGCTTTCTTGGTCTCAAACTAGGAGTGTGATTCTTGTTGAAGCATATACTTGGGGGGTGGGTGCAGGGCGGACGATTTTAAAGCAAACTCCCCAGTCATTAGATAGACAAGATCACCAAGATCTTCGTCAATGGAGATCCCGTTCCTCACCAATGAATCAAAGGTAGACCTTCACCTCAAACAGTCCTCCTTAAGAGCATCCAACTCAATACACATAGCGAGCTTCTTTGTATTCGTCAGGAGTGGATGCCCTATGGAATGAACCAACCAGAGAAACCAAACAAAAAAATGCCCAGAAAGGACTGATTGGACAGAAATTCACTGGCCGGAAAGTGGCTGTTCGAAAACTAGCTGGGCGGAATCTGGTTGCCCGGAGACTATTCTTTCTACTTCAAACGAGCTTTGCATCAAATTCAAATGAAACTGCATGCTCCACCGCTCCACCGTCAATTCCTTTGAGTTTCCATTCTGTCAAAGCATACTCATGAACACAAGGATCAAGGCAGTCTTTTCAATTTCATATGTAAACTGTAGCCATTAGTTGGCTTTAATAGTTTGTGTTTAAGCAAAGATATGAAAGAATGGGGATTTCTCTCCACATGGATTTTGTCTTGTTTAGCCAAAAAATAGAAATTATATATTTAAAAATATCAAAAAAATAATAAATAATTAGTGTTAACCTTTATAGTTTGGAATTCACCTAAAAAGCTTGGTTTAAGTTAGGTTTAGGCTATTTAGCTAATTAATTAGGCCGAAAAGTAGGCTTTTAGACACAAAAACCCAAACTATAAATTACTCTTAACTAGTTAGATCATGAAACTTTACCGATAACTAGGTTAGGTAGTACTACACATTTCTATGCATATTTCTCTCTCTAGAATAAGTTTATAGTTTATGTTAGAATATATAAAGGCGTATTTTGTATTTCTTACAAGGGCATGTTGGTAATTTTGCTTCTAATACAAGTTGTTATATAAAGTAAGTGAGAGAGGGCCGGCTGGGTATCTCTCCAAAATATTTTTCAAATCCCATACACACTGTTTTCTTCTTCTTCCATGTAATTCCTAAATCCAACATGGTATCAGAGCAAGATTCTGGTCAATAATATCAACGCTCGTCATTGTTAGTATCGTTGATCGTTGTCGCCAGCAAGAGTGTAACCATTGTCATCGTCGTACAGGAAATTTTGTCACCACCATAGGTGGCTACCGTCGTCGTGTTTGTGTTTATCGTTGTAATCGTGGTGGTCTTTATCGTCATTGTGTAACAGGGGTGTGGTGATGGCCATCGTCGTGTGGTGTCGTCGATTGGTTGTGAGATTACCGTCGTTGAGAAAATTGTTGTCCCACGGCGGCTAGGGTTATCGTTTGCAAATAAGATTATTGAATATTCATTTGAGAAGATAAGACCCGGCCCACTCATTACCCTTGACCCAACTGGATTAGCCTGATTCAATTCACTTGGATCATCATCTTAACCGGACCAGTTTCCGGCCGACCAATTTCCGATCGACCAATTTCCGGCCGACCAATTTCCGATCGACCAATTTCCGGCCAGTGAGTTCTTTGTCTGGCAAAACAGTTTCCGGTCAATTTCTTCCTTGTATTCTGATGTCTTCATCTAGTATGGAGTCAAGAAAATGTACTTACTGTGGACGGATGAATCATACAATCAATTATTGTTGGGATCTTCATGGAAAATTGTCTAGTTATGCAAATTAGGTTTCTTGTAAGAAGGATGCTTCAATTTCACATGCCCAATTTTCTGTTTCTTGCCAACCTGACATGATCACTATCCCACGTGCCCAAGATACTCATCTTTTATCTCAGCATCAGGTGTCATCATCATCTTCCATGGCTATCTCTGCAAATCAAATGTTGCATCCAAATGTTTACTATCTTTGGCGCGTCCCTGGATTATTGATCCAGGAGCATCAGACCATATGACTTGTTGCTCTCATCTTTCATCTAATTTTCACTTTGTCGCCCCTCTCAGTGTGTCACTCTTGCTAATGGTTCATCATCTAAAGTTTCAGTTGTTCAAACTACTCAACTTAATTCTTCCGTATCTCTGTCATCTGTTTTACATGTTCCTCAATTTCCCTTTAATTTGATGTATATTAGTAAGCTTACAAAAGCCCTTCATTGTTCTGTTACGTGTTACTTATTGTGTTTTCCAGGATCTCAAGACAAAGAAGTTTGGTACGGGGCATGAAGCTGGTGGCTTATACTATTTTAACTTTGAGCCTCATCCCATGGTTTGTCATTCTACTCTATCTCCATTTCAGTGGCCTGTCGTCTTGGTCACCCGTCGCTTCCGGTTTCGCAACGTCCAATCCCAAGTCTTAGTCGTATGCTGTCTTTGTCATGTGAAACTTGTCAACTTAGTAAGCATCTCGTACGTCCTTCAAATCTAGGATTGATAATCATGTGTCTAGTCCTTTTCGGTAGATTCATTTAGATGTATGGGTCCAATAAAACATACATCTATTAATGGATTTCGTTATTTTGTGACTTTTGTGGATGACCATTCTCTTATGACTTGGTTATTCTTTAATGAAAGATCACTCTGAATTATTTTCAATTTTTCAAATATTTCGCAAGGAAGTGACAACCCAATTTGGATGCTCAATTTGTGTCTTGCGGTCTGATAATGCTAAAGAATATTTCTCAGCTCCTTTCGATACATATCTTCAAGATAACATCAATCATCATCATGTTTCCACCCCCACAACAAAATGGTGTGGCTGAACGTAAGAATCATCACCTATTGATTCTAGGCCTCTGGTAATCGTCATCAAGAAAGGATGAAGAGAAAAGAGAAGAACAAGGATTCTATAGAACACAACATTGACACACTAAATCATCAAACCACACACACACGTGTGTGTGTGTATATATACATACATACATATATATATATATAAAAACTGGAAAGAGAAAGTATTTGCATTGTGGAAGAACCAAGTAATAGATAAATTTCAGCAAATACATCACAGGTTGTAAAAGAGGAAACAAGAGCTATAGGGCTGTGAATGACAAAATTATATGCCCTGATAATTATGATGCACCGAAATGTCTTTTAAATTTTGTTATTTAAAATGTTAGGGTTATTTTTGGTATTATGAAAGTTTTACTAACTCCTTATCCTTTCCCTCCAAATCTTAATCCAAACGAAGCCTTAAAGAACTTGGCTTGACAGTGAAGACCCATCTTCCGTTATTTTGTGAGAACCAAGCAACTGTCCACATTGCATCCAATCCAGTGTTTCATGAGAGAACCAGGCATATTGAAGTTGACTGTCACTTCATCCGAGATAAGATATTGAGTAGAGACATCTCTACACCATTAGTTAAATCTAAAGATCAACTTCCTGATATGTTTACCAAAGCTCTAAGTTATAAGCAGTTGAAGTTTATTTGTTCCAAGCTGGAATTATATGATATATACTCACCAGCTTAAGGGGGAGTGTTAGAATATATATAGGCGTATTTTGTATTTCTTATATGGTCATCTTGGTAATTTTCCTTGTAATATAAGTTGTTATATAAACTAAGTGAGAGAGGGCCGACAGGGTCTCTCTCCAAAATATTTTTCAGATCCCATACACACTGTTTTCTTCTTCTTAAAAAATAATGAATAATTAGTGTTAACCTTTATAGTTCGGAATTCACCTAAAAAACTTGGTTTAAGTTAGGTTTAGGCTATTTAGCTAATTAATTAGACTCAAAAGTAGCCTTTTAGACACAAAAACCCATAAAATAAATTACTCTTAACTAGTTAGGTCATGAAACTTTGCCGATAACTAGGTTAGGTAGTACTACACATTTCTATGCATATTACTCTCTCTAGAATAAGTTTATAGTTTAGAGATAGAATTTAGAAATGATGTTAGAGCACACGTGCACGGGGTGTGTGTGGTGGTGTGCGTGGAGTTGATGTGATTTGGGTGTCGTTCATCCACGCCCTATCACGATGAGACGTGTGGAGTTGAGACAAGTGTTCTTTGAGATGTGCGGAGTTGAGACACATATTCTTTTTGATTTAGGTGTCATTCATCCACGCCCTATCACCATGAAATATCTGGAGTTGAGACAAGTGTTCTTTGTGATTTGGGCGTCTTTCGTCCACGCCTTATCACTATGAGATGCGTGGAGTCATGACAAATATTCTTTATGATTTGGGTGTTGTTCGACCACGCACTATCACCATGAGATATGTGGAGTTCAGACAAGTGTTCCTTGTGATTTGGATGTCGTTCGTACAGGCCTATCACTATGATACGATGTTGGGTTGGTTGAGGAGAAGGGTTTTGAATACTACTAGTTCATAGCCTATTTTCTATTTAACTTGCGGCTATTGTTAAAATTCATTATTTGTTTAGCATTGAATTGTGCAGATTAAATCATGTTATTTATAAATAACTGTATTAACTGTTGGGGCATTATGGGTGTTTGAGTTTCGTTGAGTGGTGGCGTTTTCATGCAGTTATGTGTGGAGCTCGTGATAGTAGTTATTTTATCTCTCTATTTCATTCTGTTAGAGAGACTTCATGTAGTGAGACTTACTTGTAGTAGGATACTTTGTGATTGGATTGTAGTTAGCTTCTGGAGTCTTTGGAGTTTCAAAGATCTGACACATGTCATACTTAAAGAAGACCATGTGCTTTGTGAAACTAGCCTGTATTCCAACTGAAGATTAGAGATTGATTTCTGTAGAGAGTGCCACAAAGCAAGCTGCAAGAAGGAAAAGTGGGCAGGGGCGGAACTACGAAGCACCAATTTTTTTCAAAATTCCTAAAAAATAGGCTTCTTATAAATATTGAGTTATAAATTAGTAAAACCATTTAATATGTGGCCTCTCCAAAAAAAATTTAAAATCCATTAAAAAAAAAAGGTACTGTATAAATAGTGAACCACAAAATAGTAAAAATATTTTTATGTGGCCCTCCAAAAATTATAAAAACCTCAATTTGAGTCATTTTTTAACGATCTACATTTGAAGGATATGGACAAAAATTTCAAATATAACACTTCTACATATTTTTCTTACTATTTTATGCACTCAATTGAATTATGAAATGTTTTTACTTCATAAAGAAGTTTCTTAGACCCACCTTCTGAATATTCTATTGTTAAAAAATTAATATGTTTTCTTGTTTTTTTTTATTTTCTATCATGTTAATTTGCACCAATTTAAATTCTGGGTCCACCCTTGCACGTGAGCTTTTATTTTATGCTATAAAGGCCGCAAAATCCCATTTACAATCAAATTTCATGAAGATATTAAGGTGTTCTGTCTGAGGAGAAAGACAAACCGTGGTCAGAGAAGAGTAGGGTAGAACCCTATGGTGATTGTGGCATGGCGTCGCTCGTTCAACCATAGAGTTCGCAATGCAAGTTGATTGGGAGAGCCGAACCCAAGTGTGGAAAAATTAGAAATACCTGACATGGTATACTACGGTATACTACAAGCAAGTTAATGGTGATTGAAAAACAAAATTAAAAAAAAAATTCTATGCATGAAACCTACTGAAAAAGAGTACAGGCATAAGGGCTTTAACTGTTGACTGAAGGCTCACCTATAATAGGATAAGGTGCTTCGATCAAGTCTTGACAAGTTCGGGACTTTTTGGGGCACAAGAATACCTTTAACAAATATGGTCAGAACAAGATTCACTCACTTTGAGAGAGAGAGAGGAGGTGGAGTAATCCTCATACTTTTTCTTTTAGGATTACGTGTCCCTCCCAATGAATGTGGATACAAATTATGAATCAACTTTAAAATTCAATTTGATGTTCAAGTAAATGCATAAAAAGCCTTTGGACCACAAGTAGAACTCATTCTTCGTCCAACCCCTACGAGGCCACTGATAGGGCCATAGGACATTGAGAGGTATGTGAAGCTTCCTTGAGACACGTACAACCCTAGTGGCATTTTATCACCCACATTACAGCCTAGTGAAGTTGCACAGCATTTGGGTAAACCCATATTTGAACCCTATAAAGGTCTATTGGACTTTACTTCTCTGACGCAGGTTGCAGATTGGTTCATCCTGCAAACCTCCAATAAATCTACTAAGTTCAAGATTTTGAGTGCTCTTTTTTCAGTCACCATATGGAAGATTTGGACCGCTTGCAACTCAGCTCTTCACAATGGAACTAAAGATCAACCCTCCTATGCTGCCAAAGTTATTGTTTGGGATGTGCTTACATACCTCAACATTAGTCTAGAAGACATGTTAATTGTATTTGCTTCATGATGATGTGGATGTATTTCTTGGTTTTTCTTAGCATTTACTGGAAATGGGCTTACTCTAGCCCTTGATTTGTAAAAGGAGGTATACCTCCTTATGCAATTGTATTGTTCATACTTTTCTTTTATAAAATACCCCAAAAAAAGAGACTTGATGAAGCGACAACCTAGCATGTTGAGCAATACAATTCAAGTAGTACAACCACCAAAAATATTCAACATTTTTTCTACTATTTTCGTAAATACGTTACCGGTTGATTCCTTCCCTTCCTTCATAAATAACTTTATTATTTCATTAGCAGATTATTCAACATCCAAGCCTAACTAAACATAGATATCGTCCCTCCATAAAAACTCCCATTGAACAACCAATATGACTCAGCTGACATTGATATCAAGAAAACAATTCCAATATAATGAATAGACAGCCTCCAACACAGTAGTAAGAAGGAAAAAGAACCTTGATTCTATGACTTCTGTTGGAAACCAATTAACTTATCTATTAAGGGAAACAACAAAATGTCAACCATCGACTTAATTTTCTTTACTACCCACCCTAACACAATTACGTTAATTTGACCCTAGAGCCTTTCCATGATCTTTCACACTTACAAAAACCCAAATCTTCATTTGTCATCAAAATTTCAAACTCATGAATCTCATGGACCTCCCACCATTACATTATGCAATCCCTTTCAATTACATGATTTAGTAATCACCAAAAAAGGTAGTCAAGAAATTGCACTTGACCAAAAAGAGATAAGTCTTATCATATAATGAAGCAATAAACAGTTGATGAAAAGTTGAGAGCAATGCAGACATGGAAAATACCAGACGTTCTCTCTCGGACGGTCTCCCAGCAAAGCAGCTGGCTTTAATTCTCTTTACGGCCACATCTGAACCCTTCCACTTCCCATGATAAACAGCCCCATAGGTACCAGAGCCTAATTCTCGGATTTCCTCTAGATCATCATTTTTAATTGTCTGAGTGAAAAAGGAACATACCATTAAAATCGAAGGACATAAGAACTTACAAAACTAAAAAAGAAATTATAATGGGGTGAAGAAAATGAAAAGGTGAAGGCATTGAATCTTTAAGAACGCATTACAAATACTTGAATGACATGAATGGGATATATAAAGGAACCTGCAATCCCTTGGCGATAGCTTCTGCCTCAGCCTTAGTTGGCTCAATCTTAGAATTGTTTATATTGTCATTATCAGAATCCAACTCCAGATCCCCATGCCCGTCCTACAAAGCAAACAGAAAATTTGAGAGAAACAATACATCAGGGGACATTCTTCCATAAAAGAAAGTACAATTCATTCTAACCACTGGTTCCGATTCGACTCGAGTATCTTCTTGTGCAAGCACATCATGTGCAACACCAGAATCAGCATTTTCTTGAACTTTAACTTTAACATCCTCAACACCTTCTAGTGCTGCTTTCTTAACAGAGGCAATCAACTCAGGTAAAAAACTCAATCGATTAACTGACAGATCCTCGTTTTCAAGAGGAGCATGAGCACCATCTTCATCCACTTTTACAACACCACCGCACTCCTCTGCTGTCCTTAAACAATTTGAACCGACAGACTCAGGAAATACCACATCCGGGTTCTTGTTTAGATCTGGAGCAGAGATCCTCTGCATATTAGACTCTTCAACCTTCTCTATGTAATTTGTCTCATCTCCTCCTTCCCGAATACTTTTCACTCCCATCCTCAATGATTGAGCGATATTATAATCATTCCTAGATTCTGGATTTAAAGTGGACACAGAAACTAATCTTTCATTGATCAAGTCAGAGACTTGCACAGGTTCCGAAGGAGTGGCAAAATTTAGCATGTCAACCGAGGATTGAATGTGATCTGGAGTAAGCAGATGCTGATTTTCCAGAATGTAACTGTTTGGTTTCAATTTTAAAGCATGGTCATAAGAATATTCTGGGAGACAGGTCTCATCAATGCCCACCACTTTGTGTGAGGACTCAGCCAAATGATTTTGGTTCTCCACCCCGATACAGAACCTGGGACTACCTTCCAGTGAACCCCTGATGAATCCTGGACTAACCGTACCATTTGCTTGATGAGGTGAACTAGATGCTTCATAAGAGGGACCCCCATGCACTTGGTTATGAACATTTTTCCAGACACAATGTGCAGGTGCATGCCCATGTGACACTTGATATAGATTATCTGCTCCATAAGCATAAGGCAAATTCCCATACCGAACCATACGCTCTTCTAAAGGAGGAATGTGGATGTGGGAACCAGTGGCCAGACATTGGTCAGGAAGCACTTCATTCCCCAATTCAGGTCCAGCTCGAATGTACCGTGGGTCTTCATGATTGACATAACTTGCAGGTACATGATGGCCGTCTGATATAGTACCATGCCCAAGAGCGATATTTATTCCACTACCATCTACAACGTAATGGTCATTCAATCTCCCAACCCCAGAAACATGTGATCTTGATTCCTCAGCGCGAGGATTCAACTGATGTTGTAGTATCCATCCTCTTTCATGAGTGTGGTTTTCATTATAGAAGGATCGGGGATCATTTTGGTCTCTGGTATAGAACCCATGGTGCAACTTGGCATCTGCATTCAACATGAGAGTATCCCTATTTGGGGGACAGTCGGCACATAAATTAGCAATCTGGTGGAAACCACTCCCCGTGTTGGGCTGCTCCAGATGCGATTGTTCTCCGTGCTTCCAAGGGGAATCAGGATAAGCTTGATTTCTTTGGAAAGTCATCCGGCAGTGCTCACAGATACTGTTTCCCTCAAATGCATTAGGGCCATAGAATATGTTACCTGGAAAACCAGTCTTATCGCCAGCAACAGGTCCAGTAGGCAACCATGCCATATTGTCTGGAACTTGCGGCTGGTGCTCATACATGGATTGATGATTAACTTGTTGCCGACCATATTCCTCTGACAAACGGTACCTGGCAGAAGAAGGTGAAGTCGGAAATTCTGGAACTGGTCTTGGATCATGGTGGCCATGATGCCTGGGGGAGTAGTATGCAGGACTCCATGGAGACTCCATTTCATTATATCTCTGAGTTTGAGGAATTGTGAGGTGACGCAAGTTGAACTGTGGCATGAGCATCTCATTATTCCTCTGGTTATGGAGGCTGCCCTCGAGACTCATCTGATTGAAATACTGTTCAGCAACATTAATATCATCTACTGGACCCGTCACCAGGGATTCATTATGCAGTTGCTGCTTCCTAGATTCCGGGGATTCATTGAGGCTGTTGAGAGCATCCACATACCTCCTCTCTGTATCTCTTTCATCGCCATCAACAAAGTGGGATGAACCATCTTGATCAGGATGTGAGAATAGAAAAATCCTGAGTCTAGTGAAGCCATCCCCGGAACCCAATTTATCATATTCCTCCATCATGTTGGTCACGTCATCATTGTCCACGACTGAGACAAGAGCATCAAGATCCTCATCTGGCTGCTGATATTTCAACACGGTCGCCCCTTCATAAAGCTCCCTCATTTTCCCCATCAGCTCTTCAAAAGTAATATCTCGGGGGACGCTCACAATTCGCGTCTCGCCACCAACATACCTTAGCTTCCCGTCTTGGGGACGTGGCAAAATACTACCAGAAAAACTACACAAGAACTTAACACGAGGATTTTCATCATTAGAACTGGGGACAGAACCCGCAGTTGTTGAAGGGCTATCCATCAAGTACACAGCTTGACCTTGATGATCAAATTTGGTATCAGATTGGAATGATGATTGGCTCAGACATGCGATTCCTTTATTACACATACACATGAGCATCATTCACACCAACAAATGTCTACAAGTTCCATTTCCCAACAAAACCCACAACAACCCAAAACAGGCAGGCCCTTTAAGTTTCACAAACCAAATTGTTATTGGAATCTCCTCCATACAAAATAATAATTAAAAAAACTCATAAATATTTAACCAAACAGCCGGACCTATAGCCGTCAAAACCCCAAATAACAACCACGACCGGGGAAGGAAAAAAAAAAACAGAGAGAGAGAGAGATTGTTGAATAAATTTAATGAAAAAAGAGCATTTCCTTACCTTGGAATTATAATAATATTAGCGTCCAAAACCCCCAAATCTGTAATTCAAAATCCGATACGAATATGAAGCGAATTGGATCTAGGGAGAGATTGAAACGAAGACGTATAAAATACCTGAAATGGCAATTATGATGACGACAGTACGGACACCAAATATTGGAGACAAACCCCCACCCAAAAAAAAAAAAAAAAAGGCAAATCAATATCAATATCAATAGGAGGTCGCTCAAAATGAAAAAGAATAATCTCCTTATCAGCTGGCGTCTACAGGTTCTCTTTCTCCACTCTTGTCCCCAACTTTTTCTGTAAAAATTGGTCCGTTGCTGCTGTGTGTGCGTCTGAGCTGCTGGGGATCTATATATGTATGTATATGTGTGTATGTAGCGGAGCAAGAGAGAGAATTATATATTGAGAGAGAGAGAGAGAAAGTTAGAGGAGGTTGGGGTAAAAGTGTTCGAGTGAAGGGGGACCTTTGTCTTTGCGAGGAAAAATCTTTGTTCTAGAGAGGAAGAAGATGATGGGGGTTGTGATGATGCGCCATCATCTTTGGTTGTGTTTGTTTCGTTTCGTCCCCTTCTCGATTCGTTTGCAAGATGCGATGCCTTGTTGCCAGGTAGTCTCACACGTGGCACCATTTCGTTTATCGAACCAGAGCATCTATTTATCTTCCCCCAGCTGTAATACTTTGTACGCGCTTCTGTAGCGCGTGGTCTTAGTGATAAAATCGTAAGAAAAGAGACCCAAATCCGTGCACACCAGTGTGGAATTTATTGGTTAGTGCTGCAAGAGTGTGACCGGTCCGTGGGCTTAGAATATACCAATATTCTTGTCTTGGATGGGAAAGCGCATAAATATATAATATACAGTAATATCTGTAATATCAGACTCTGGTCCGGTGGCGGTGGGGCTGGAGGTGGTTCCAACTCGCGCACCCTCGACTTGCTCGCTCCTTGACCTTGAGAGGTTTCACTTTCACTTTCTCGTGAAAAAATCAGGTGGGAACAATGGGACTCCATGTTCCTCCAATCAAATTATGATAGCATGTATGATTGGTTCTAATTTGGATGGGTGTTCAAGTACAACCAAGATAGCCAGGAGGACAACTAAATATCTTTTCTTTCACTAATTTTTTTTTTTTTTTTTTTTTTTTTTTTTTGAACTTCCCTAACACCCTTTCAAATTTCATCATATTTCACCCACAAACATTTTTTAAAAACAATTATTAATAAGTACTAAATATTACATATTTGAGTCCGTACGTATGTTAAGGCCTTAAGTGATACTTTTTCCCGATTTTATATTAATTTTCGATTATTTGCTTTTGTAGCTGATTTTACCGAAAAAAATAATCAAATTGTTATTTTAAAGCATGAAGCAATGTTTCCGAGCCTTTTGAAAGTATTCTGGACTTTCTATGGAGTTCCAGAGGTCCACAGGGAGATAATTGAGGCACATGAAGAATTAAGGCTCGAGCACTGTCTCTACAGGGCTCGAGCACTAATTAGCGCTCGAGCACCTTAGCATTGTTTCTTGGGTGCTCGAGCGCCATTAAGTAATTTTGGCCAAGTGTTGGGTGCATTACCACTTCTGAAAATCTTTGCAAAAATTCGACTAAGTATAGATAGTGCTCAAGCGTTGTAATAGGGCTCGAGCGTCATTTTGGAAATTCTTCACCTGTTTCAGTATTTTGGGCATAACTTTTTACTCCGAACTCCAAATTGAGCAAACTCAAAGGCTATGGAAAGAAGACTCGAAACCCAACGTTTTTGTGTCTAATGGAAATTTTGAGATTCGTACTCCAAACAGGTCAAAAAGGCCTTTAGAACTATTTCAGCAAGGCTCGAGCGCCCTTTTTAGAAAAAATGGCTATGTGTAATAGGGCTCGAGCGCTGTTAACAAGGCTCGAGCGCACTTGTACCTTGGAGTCTTTTTAATGTGGAAATTAACTTAAAACAAGCCTTTTTGACCCTAAACGGGCCCAGATGATCCCATAATTCCTAAAGCCCATCCAAGAGGAAAGAGAATTCAATTTTATTTTATAAAAGAAGATGAAAGGTTACAAGGAAGCTCTCGTGCAATATTTCAGATCTAGAGGCGACTTTTAGGGTTTTTAGAGTTTTCTCTAAAGAATTGAAGAACAAGATCCATAGAAGAGGAATTGCAGTCCATGATGGTGAGTTCTACACCAACCAAGATAATATCCTCCATCGTCATAAGTAGTTAAATCCCTTCTTAGGGTATTAATGTAACTTGAATCCGATTATTATGGTTTGATTGTTCTAAATTTTGGGATTTTCATTATTAATGTATAACTGATTGCATGATTATTAAGCAATTGACTTAGATATTTTAAGTAATTGGGTTTTAAATTGAATAAATTGATTTTTGATAAATTAATCTCTTGTCTTAGAATTAATTCTTCTTTAAATCAAAATCAACCTATTCTTATTGTTTGAGATTGGCGGCAAAGGGCTTCTCATGACAACAAGAATAGAAATCATGCAATGGTGCTTAAACTATTTTTGTGAATGAATGTTTTCATAATTTATGCTTAGGGAAGACGAATTATTTTACAAAATTAGTCAGAAGTAGGTAGGTAGATAATTCATGCCAACTAAAGGTAGGTTATTATTAACAAACATTTATGATTTATCTTTCTTATCTGAGTTCTTCAAGGATCTTTCCCTTCTTTGTGCCCCATTACGCCAAAGACTAAAAAAGTCCTATCCACCATGGTCCGATGAGCATACAAAAACAGTCTGAATCCTTAAAAGTAAAGCAAAAAACCTCCCTTGCCTATCTATTGCTGATCCTGAAGCCTTCAAAATTATGGAAATTGATGCCTCTGAATTAAGATATGGAGGTATCCTTAAACAAAGGACAGGTGGTAAGGAACAACTAATCCAATTCGCCTCTGGCACATGGAACCAAGCATAGCACAATTACTCTATAGTCAAAAAGGAAATTTTATCTATAGTTTTATGCATTTCAAAATTTTAAAGTGATTTACTAAATCAAAAATTTTTAGTTCATGTTGATTGTCAATCTGCAAAAACTGTTTTAAAAAAAGATGTTCATAACATAGCTTCAAAACAAATTTTTGCCCGATGGCAAGCTATTCTTTCTGTTTTTGACTTTGACATTGAATATATAAAAGGAGAAAATAATTATCTTCGTAACTTTCTCACCAGAGAATTTTTACAGGGAAAAGTAGGAGTTTACAAAAGTGGATATAATTTTACAAATCTAAAAATTATAGAAAAAGCCCAGAAAATTCCAGAAAAATACCAAAAATTCTATAAACCCTAGTTAACCCTCTAGGGTCATAAATCATGCATAACAGTTGATTTAAATATATACAACCTATATATATAATTAAAACCCAACAATTTTAAAAATAAAATAATAACAAATCATGTTTTTAGTACTACGATTTAATACTAATTTAATCAAATAAAATCAACTTAATGATTTTGATTAAATCCGTTCTAACCATGATTTAAATTAATAAATTAAATTTAAAGCCTTGATACTCAAGGTGAAATTCTTATGAGTTCTAAAAGGAAAGTTGGAGAAGAACCCGCCTAAAGGTTTCAAAATGAAACCGACACTTTAAGCTTTGATCTTCTCTTCTAATTCGGGCATCCTCTTTTTCAGATCTAGCATTCTCCTTGTCAGCCTTCTTTTCTTCTCTCTCTGTCTCTCTTATTTTTTTAACGTAAAAACATTTTAACCCTAAACCTTATATGTATAATTTATAAACATTATAATCCAAATCCTAATCTTAGTAGGACTACCAAATAAAATAAATAATAATTATCAAATAATATAAAATATATACACACATATTATATATATATATATATATATATATATATATAAATTACTTTCCATAATTAATCATTAATTAATTAAATCATATCCACACACACATATATATATATCAATAAATATATACACATATATCCTTCCATAATAATTATTAATTAATTACATTTATATATGTATAATTATATATATAATTATGCAAAGATAATTATTTAAATATCTTTATAACCATGGACCCTTATTAATTAACCCAACAAGGTTTCCTTCAAGCCCGAGACCACATCCATTAGTCTCACTCCTCTTTAAGCCCAATCCAGTTAAAATAAAATAATTATATTAAATCTAATAATTACAAATAATTAGCAATCAATTCACACAAGCATAAGTACACACAAATCAAATAAACAATTCAATCAAAACATTTCACAAAGCAAAACACCATATTAATTTAACAAATATCCACGAAATATAATCTAATTAAAATAACACAATTAATCTAAGCACCCAATTAATAAATCCTTTAAAATATCGAGGTATTACAACCAATCAATTCAACCAGTTACTTGTAAACCAAGAAATAAATTAGATTAGTTATGAACAAAGCAAAGAACATTCATCTCCATATGGGACCGACACCCTTTATATAGTATTATCCTACAAAGATTCATGCTATTGCGAGTGGTAATAAACTGAACACGTCATCAGCCCGTTATGACGCAATGACCCATTTTATTTTTAAAAAAATATTTTTTAGGATTAATTTCACTAACACCACGTTTGGCCAAATATCACATTAATACATCTTTCGCAAATTACTATCACTCACATTATAAATGTTTTGTCCGTTTTTCATTCACACAGTGGTGTCAGTGTACTTTTTGCAGATAAAATGGCATTAGTACCCTTTTGACGTTATATTGATCTATATAAATATTATTTTATGTATAAAATGACACAACTACCCTTATAAGACCTGTTTCAAGTGATCAAAATTAAACCCAAAAAGAGGTTTTTGAAAGAAGAAGCTTGAATGAGGAAAGAGAGCATATTAGTTTACCAACTTAAATAGACTTTCCATAGTTAGATGTTTAGTTACCAAGTGACTTTGGTTTCCTAGTTCCATTCATACACGGGTACACTCAAAGTAAAACTTATCTATTTTTAAAGATTTTCTCATACTAAATTATTTAATATACGTTTGCTTACAACATTTATCTTAATGACGGTCACATAATTGATAAAAAAATCTAGTAGAGTTTCTATCACTTTTTATACTTTAAAATGAGATTACACAATTATCAAAGTTGAAAAAAAAAAAAAAAAAAAAAAAAAACTAAAAAAAAAAAAAAAAAAAAAAACTTATCAGTAATATATAGAGAGAATAAATGAAGAATACATCTACATAATGCCTATTATCTAATCTAAACCAAAATTAAGTTGACAATGCCAAGGTGGAGAAAACATCGCAGACCTTCTAAGGAGTGGTCGGTTGGTGTTATAAGTAATAGACAGGGGCAATTTTGTCCTTTCAATTTGTTGATATTTTGAATTAAAAAGTTAGGGCAAAGTTGTATTTTTACCCATTTTTAATTGTGTGAATGACGGAAAAGTAAAATTAGACCTAAATGATAGTAATTTTCGAAAGGTGTTTCAATGTGATATTTAGTTAAACCTGAGAGAGTGTCATTGAAATTAACCCTATTTTTTAAGAGAAAATAAAAAAACAAACATAAAAGCCATTTTTTATTTGGCTGAATCCATCATC